CAGACGCCAAAGGGAGGTGGGATTGATGAAGTAAAATCATAATTGGAAAAGAAAAAACAAACAAACATGGAGATAGGGTAGACACGTGTAAATGAGAGTTTAAGAGTTACCTTTCAGCAGTATAAGTCAACAGATCATCACTCACATACAAGTTGAAATGGAAAATCAAAGTCATCAAGTTTCCCCGGCTGAGATTCAAGGAAGTCTTCAAAACACGAGTCAATTTCTTATCAGACCGTCCACCCACGTAAACATAAGGTTCTAATGGGATTTTGATGAAGTTAGATTTCATCATTGACAAATCAAGCGTTTTCCAAAGCAGAGGATCACAGCAAGCCAAGCGCCATGCACTACAGACGTGCGCAATGCCCGAAGTTAACTGATAGATGTCAAAAGACTGAAAGATCTTCACCAATATGTCAGTATCCAGGTCCTCCCATCTTCTCACAAGGGACTCACTGTCCTCCATTTCACCAGCTTTCCAAACTTCTCCAAACAACCTTACCCCGTCACAATGTCTACATAAACAAATAAAAGGAATCAATACTCTAATGGCATGCAGGAGGAATTGAATTCACAATGCGTTGAAATGAGGAGGAATTGGATTGAGGAGAGTTAGATTCCGGATTCCTATTGAAGTTGTTTACTAAACCATATGGAATTGGGGTAGGAGTGGTACTAATTCCTTATAAGTTATTTACTAAATTCACATGAATTGGAGTAGAAACCAAATTGATTACTAAAATGTCCTCGTTGTTGGGTACAAGTAGATGGAAAATTTGGAATTTTTAAAATTGTGTGAGGAATTAGAATACCACCTACCACCCAAGAGTCCAATTCCTCCAAAATCAAGAGTTGAATTCCTAATTTTGCGTGGATCCCACTCGCATTTTGATTCCTCCATGTGAAGTAAACACAGGAGTATCCGTAAAAGGAATTCAACTACTTATTTTGATTCCAATTACGGATTAGTAAACATGCCATAATATTCAATTCGCTAAAACAAGCTGCTATACAACATTTATAATTCCTTCACAAAGCCCCTCAATATTGGGTTGTCTACAATTAAATGGGTGGGCTGGCTTTAAGAGTTTAAAATTCAAGGCCTACGAGTTCTAAACAAAATAAGCGTTGAGTTAAATAATCACCTTGGGGAATTGTAAGGAGTCTCACAGAGGTAAATTTAGACGTAGAGATAAAGGGTCGAGATGAAAGAATAGATAAAGAGCACACATTATTCACAGCAACTTGCATAGTGATCTTAAGAGCACTTTTTTTCTACTTTTTTTATTTGGCTAACTGAAAT